CAGGAGAGAGGGGAGAGAGAGTAGGATTTAGGTTTTTGGTTCTGTAATTGCTTAATCCCAAAATAAGACCACTACTACAGTTTATATAAGGATGGCAATGGGTCGGGTGGGGACGGATAGTGCATATCCGTTACTCTACCCAAAGTAGTTCGGGTTTTACCCATACCCATACCCGCATAAGAAACGGGTAGAAAATCAAAACCATGCCCATACCCGTTCGGGTTTCGGGTATCCACGGTTATCCATGGGTAATAGTTTCTCTTTATAACTCCAACTAATATGTTAATATTCACATGTATTCCCTCATTACATAAGACGAAAAGTATGACAATTATTCAGAAGAATGAAGAAAATTAATTAAAACAACACAATTTTATGAAAATGTTATCTTTATATGCTAAATTTAAAATACGTTAGAGAAAAATAATGATTATTTTTAGACAAAATACATATGTATGTGTATAATCGGGCGGGTTCGGGTTGGATAGTGAGAAAACCATGCCCGCCCATTACCCGCAATGTTCGGGTTCGGGTTTTACCCGTACCCACTAAAAGTCCTTCGGGTTCGGGTTTTACCCTACTCATTTAGGTCGGATTCGGGCGGATATCCATGGTTACAGATATTTTTGCCATCCCTAAGTTTATATAACCTGTCTAATTCCTAACTGCTACCCAATTAATAAAACGTAACAATGGACTCCCTGTTTATTCCCCCAAATACCCAAATAATCCCCCAATCATTAAAAACCGACACTAATACGAAATACCCAAAAACTGCAAATAATTGTGTTTCCCACAGAGTAGTTTTTAAAGAGAGAACATAAACATCAAGAGATGAGAAAATAACCCAAATTTCGCTTCTGGTATTCCTTTCCAATCACAAAAGTAATTGCCATATAAAGTTCCCCTGCCAGCTGGACTATCTATGAAACCTCTAAAATAGCTTGATCGATTCAGCATACGAAAACTATATATCAGCAACAATACTCCTGCTAAACGAATTCCATTAGGATACAAATGGATGGTTGAATTAGGTATGGAATGAGTTAAATAAGCAATTCATTCTAAAATATAATTAAACTAAATCAAACACCTTGCACCTACACTACATAAACAGTAAAGAACACCCAAAATAAGCAAGTCTAAACATAAAAAGATTATGATACATGCTCTAGAAGAAAATGAATAAGGAGAAGGCAAGTTTGGGTTTATGTGACATAGAATGTGAAGTTTCACTGCAAGTCCACTGGTGTTTATAGCTGTTGATTGTGCATATAGATACAGATAGTTACATTGGTACTAATCCAAGGGCATGTTGGAAACAACTCCATCTTATTGGATTCATGATAGGTGTATGATGCATGTACATCGAGAGCAGTAGCTGCAAATAATCAATGTAACACCAAGACAAAATCAATTCAGACCCATCTGTTTCCATGAGTACTAAGAGTCTAAGAGGATGAATGGTGAAACCAAACAGAAACCCAATTAAAAAAAGAAGTACCCGTTAGATGAAAGGAAAAAAAAAGATCAAAAGAAAATAATTAAAGAGAACTTATAGTTCATGTGATGTTAGAGAGCTTTGCTTTTTTCTTCCACTTCATCGACCGTGAGAGAGAGGCAGGAAGAGAAAATGTCGGCCGGAATCAAACAAACACAAAGAATAACATTTTTTTCCTTCTCGATGGCTCCCAAATGAAAGCCCATTGAATCTCCTCCACCTCCCGCATATCTCCTCAGCAACGCAATCGCGAAATCCGTAAAGTCTCGCTGCCGCTCTAGTATTTGACACTTGTCATCTCTCTATAGATTACTAGCCTCGTTGTTGCTATCGATCTGCCATCATCGTCGATCTCGTTGACGCCAGTTAGCTCCAGGTCATCATAGTGCTTCGTTACCATCTCCATCGCCGCCATCGTCGTTGTGCTCTCGCCCCCGACTCTGCTCGATATCACCAGCGCTGCACCCCTAAACCACCTCTGCCACCTCGCCACCGCCGGGACGCCCCTGTTAGTGTTGTGGTATATGATCCACGATTGAACCTCTCTCAACAACTCGAGTTATTGGGACCAATTGGTTCTTGACATGGTATCAGAGCCTTCTGTGACCGAGAGGTCTTGTGTTCGATTCCCGGTGACCCCCATTTGTTAAGCACATGGTATTCTTGTCTTCAGACCTGTGCAAACTTCAAGCCCTTGTGAGTGGCTTTCGTTTGAGGGGGCGTGTTAGTGTTGTGGTATATGATCCACGATTGAACCTCTCTCAACAACTCGAGTTATTGGGACCAATTGGTTCTTGACAGCCCCTACATACCCGTAGGTAATCTTCCTCCTCGCTTCTTCTTAAAGAGAGAAGTGGGTTATTTTTTTCCTTTCTTCTTCAAGTGACTGGGAGGGTTGGGTGAGTGATAGAATTAAAAGAGAAAGATGAAAGAGAGAGAGAGGGCTTCGTGTGACTGGGAATAGGGGAAGAAGGAAAAGCAACAAAACAACAAAAAGACAATCAAAGATTCCTTTAGTTACGAAATGGTCACCCACTGGATGGAACCTATCCCTCCGTTTCAATGGACCCTGCCCTTCTGAACAAGAAGACTGGAGTTGCGCCGATCCGCCTCTTTTAACAAAATCCACACTCGGCCCAATTCGTTTATTACAAAAGTGTGTCAAATTCATTCTCAACCCAAAATTCGTCAACACCGGGTTAAACTCATTTTGACCGGGTCAAATTAGGTGCCCAATCCATTAAATACAAAAGCGGGTAAAACTCGTCCCTGGTTCTAAATTCGTCAACACTGGATTGAACTCGCTTTGACCGGTTTGATAAAGCGGATAAATTCATTCCCGGTCACACCCGGTTAAACTCGCTTTGACCAGGTCGAATTAGAAAAGCATCTAAGACCCGGTCCCGCAGCAAAACTATTCAACATCAAGTCCGCCACGCTCAACAAAATCCACAACCGGGTCAATCTCGTAAATTAGAAAAACATGTACAACTCGTTGTCGATACAAACTCGTCAACACCGCGATTGACAACCTTTGGACAGATAGAATAAAAGAATTAGAAAAAATAAAATATAAACTGAACTTATGGTTAATTACAAAGGGTCACATGTTACACGAACAAAAAGGAAAAAAAATTAATAGATCATTAGGATAAGAAAAATGTACCTACCATGAAAGCAAAACGAAAGTAGTCAAACACAATAGATCATAAAATTCGGCAGGAAAAAAATAGTCAAACACAATAGATCATAAAATCCGGCATAAAAAATAAACCAAACCATTTGCAACCCCGACACAACAGAGAACGGGCGATGAAACGACTCCAAGCGGCTACACAAAACAAATCTAAGATAAAATTCGGCTGGGAAAGTTATAGTCAAACAATAGATCATAAAATCCGGTATAAAAAAAAAACTATTTGCAACCCCGGCACGACAGAGAAAAGGCGGTGAAACGACTCCAATCGGCTACACAAAACAAGTCCAAGTACTCATTTGCAAGACCGGGATAAAAACCAACCAACCTCTAAACTTGCAAAAAAACAATGTTATTAAAGCCGGTCCAGACAAGACGGTCCGACTTGTAAAACCGCCATCCGACCTCCAATCCGGTCCGATCAGGCTATTTAGCCGCCAGGATTGGAACATCCCCTTTGCAAGCGAACTGACCGGTTAAACCGACATGCCATTCGAACCGCTTCAACCAGTTTGTGTACCAAAAGCTACAAGTCTTATTATTAAATGATCTCACAATGTTCATTTTTTAAATAAATCATTAAATAGTGTTCATAACTATTAAAAATCACTCGTATTATACTTAAATAATTTATATTTCTATACAATAATAAACTTTACTTGTCATATATAATTTTTTGTTTGAATATATTAGAATAATTATTTAATTATAATACGATTAATGGTTTCTACTTATAATAATTCTACTTCTTAGACACCGGTTCGCTAACGAGGCTTGATACCGGTTAAATCAATAAAGTGTGAATAGCTTACCATACCGGTTCATACGACGGTTCGGTTCTGACAACATTGACAAAACCCATCTTCAAGTCCGACACAACAGGAAAAAATGGTACAACGATCCAGTGGCGGATGCATGGGCCTTTAAGGGTGTCCCGGGACACCCCTAAAATTTGGGGAAACGATTATCCAACTTCCGGTAGTAGTTTCGTATGAATAAAAAAATTATAATTGGTAATCCGGGACACCTTAAATTTTGAAAAAAGATAATCATGTCCTCGGTAGTAGTTTGCGTATGATTAAAAATATATAACTAGTAGTCTGTGTTATTCAAACCTATGACACTACTATTATTAAACATATTCTCTAGGTTGCAACTCATTTGTTGTTTTATTTTAAACACTATGTTATAGTAAAAAACACTATTCTTTATTCCAAATTATTTTCAAAACTTAACAATTAAACTCATTCGAGCTATCCTTAATTTGAATTGATTTTATAGGTATAGTGTAAGAGTTGAAAGAGTCTTTCAAGTTTGAGTTACATTAGGAACAAGGTTAAAAATCGAATATGCGATCAGTTCGGGAATTATTGTCTAATATGGTATATTGGCACTAGTCGGATATTTATTTGATTTATGAATTATTTAATTTAATTTTTAATTAAAATTTAATTTTTGGAAGAGGACACCCCTATAAATATTTGCTGGATCCGCCACTGCAACGATCGTAAGCGTGATCAATAAGTGAAGGAAAGATCATTAAGATAAGGAAAAAGTTACCAACACGGAGGCAAAATAATAAAATGGGTGAGCATAGAACCCTGCATAAAAACCAAAATAATTTGCAAGCCTGACACCACGAAGAAAACAGGTAAACGACTGTAAACAAGAGCGATATGTGAAGGGAAAAACAATAAAAAGATAATTTGGGAAAGAGAAATGTATTAATCATTAAGGGCGAATAGTTACACTCCGATTTTTAACGGGTCAATTTAGGTTAAATATTCATTGATTTGGGCTCAATTGTCATAAGCTAATTTATTAGAATCTTAATGGTATAAAAACTCTTCCAAGCTATGAGTAATTACAAAAGGTTCACCGGTGGCATGGGACTATATGAAATAATGTTTTATAACTTCTTCTTTTATAGAGTTAATTTAATTACATTTATCACTTAAAAGCAAAATATACCGACCAACCACCAAATTACATCTTTACTTGACCAATCTTTAAAGTCCCATATGATACATCACTATATGCTTCTTCAATTCTCCGACGACCAAAGATCAGAAATTCATCTATTTTAATTTGCTGACACAATCCACCATACGAACGAGTCTCTTCCTACTTTCCTTCTTCCCCAACCAACAGAGCTCTGAGAACTCCCTCGATCATTCCAGGAACGTAGTGCAAGGCGTGCCCGGCCCCTGGCAGCTCGTGGTACTGAATCCATGGCAGCTTCTTAGCAATGAAACGCTGCAAATCCACCGGCACTTTCTTGTCCTCATCCCCTTGCCACAGATGAACTTTCCCTTCGTCATTTGGCAACGGATTCTCCATCGCCATCGGGTCGAATTCCCATTTCCCGAACCCGATCTTCATGTCCCTGTGTAGTGACTCGTACGCTCCCTGTTGGGTCGCCACTTCCTGAAAAAAGCCCAAAAAAAAAAAAAAAACAGAGTCTCAGAAACAGGGGAAAAAACAGGGGATGAGAATTCCTCCAAATCCCAGAACTGAAATTTGAAAAGGAATTATAAAAATTAAAACTACCTTGAGATATCGGCCTTCTCCGTATCTGGAAACGAGTTCGAGATCCTGACGGGAGAGAGTCTCAGGTCGCCTGGCGATGACGGCAGATGAAGGGAACAGTTTCTGTGTGTTCCACCAGTAGGTAAGCCAGGGTGCATAATGAGCAATTCGCAGGGCCCATTGGTCCTGAGGGAGCTGAAGCTTGTAAGCTTCATTAGCTAGCTTTGCAGGGAAGCTCGGCCACCAGTAGTTGATCACAGGGGCGACTAGCGCTGCTCCTGCCAGCCTGAACAACCCCACAATTTGAGATTTTAAAAAAACAGAGTCATGACTCATAAAAACAGAGTAATCCCCCCAGCAATAAAGAATGATTTTTTTTTTCTTTGGGTGATTTGTTAGTTCTTCTACTGAAATTACCTGTGAGGGATGTACTTAAGGCAGCCCCAAACAACTTGGCCGCCCATGGATTTACCCACCACGTAGAATTTCGATCCGAGGCCTAAGTAATCGGCAAGCTCTTCAATATCCAGAGCCAAGCTCTTGGGAGTCCGGTTCGGATCCGGGTCGCTCTCTCCGTAACCCGGGCGATCAAAGGTCACAACGTAAACCCCCAGCTCTCTCACAGCTTCCTGGAAAATTGAAAACAAAGCAGAATTTATGAATTCAGTAATTCACCCATCATCATTAAAAAGCTTAATTTGAATCCCTTGTTATAAACAGCAGGAAACCAACCGGGGAGAGATTGGTGACGATCATCGGGTCGAGGCGGTTAGAGGTGAACCCGTGGACGAAAACGATCTTGTGCTTGGCTTCTTCTTTGGGGACGCCGTTTTCCTGGTAAGCGAGGTGCCTGCCGTCCCTCAGCTTCATCCGAGTTGCGGTCACCGGCGGCCCGCCGGGGGTTCCGCAAATCATGGGAGGCGGCGCGCGGAGGGACTTATTTAAAGCCCATGCCAGCAACCCGATCAACAGCACCGCAAGAATCTGCGCCAACATTCTGGAGAAGAAAGTAGTAAAGATGTGTCAAGTGTATTATCTTAAAGTACCAATATCTTCCCAAGTGGCACGAAAAAAAGCTTGCATTGGACAGGTTACCTGAGAAGCCAAAAGGGAAGGGAGTCTTTAAGAAGAGAAGAGGTGATTGAACCTCTGGTTTTGTTATGAACAGAGGGAAAGTAGGAGAGCCCTGTTTTTTGGGTTTGGTTTTGGTGCAACTGAAGTTGCTGGAATTTCACGACTTTGGGGCAAAAGCTTTATATAGGCAAAGATGGGTATGAGTAAGAGGGGAGTTGGTCAAGAGTGGAATAATGTCATAGCACCCAAAATGACTGGATAACTACCCTGTTGCTGCCCACCACCAACTTCCCTTGCCATGGTAGTTGTGGTTTGGCACCACCACCATTGTTGAATTATAAAAAAAAAAAAATTATGGGTCGGTGGGGATCCTGAGGCTGGGTGAGTGCCTTGGAAATTCCTGGTTTGTGTGTTTGTTGAGACAAGAATCACAGGGTTATTCAAAGACCACAGTCCATCTGTTTGGGTGATCACAGCGGGATGTGGCGTGAAACAAGAGGCTGCAAGTTAAAAAAAAAAAATGATGAAAATGCTGGCTGTGGATGATTAGCTCAACTTCAGAATATATTCAACTAAAATATTGATAAAATATGAACTTTGCCATATAGTCATTTTATGATAGAATACGAACTTACATATGTAATCATCAAAACAGCGTAAAACAATCGATCTATGTCCGAGTTTTACTTCTCGTTGTATTGTAGCATAGAGACAGATGAAGCATGATTGTTTATTATTTGGTTCATAGTAAATTTTGGAATTAGTGATTAGTTTAGTTTCTCAAGGTCATATAGATATTGTCAGAACAGAAGCGTGCAATCGATAATCCAAACCAGCACGAACGAATACAAATTTAACGTGGTTCACTAACACAATGTGTGCTAGCTAATCCACGGACAGAGGAGACAAATTTCACTAATTTGAGGAGAGTACAGGTTACAAACCAAATTCCAAACGGACAAACCAAACAAACAAACCTGACTGACCTTACTACAGACTAGGGTGATGAATAGTATTTATAGAACTCTTCTCCTAATACCAAACAGAAAATCAAATACATTTTCCAAACCTACAAGAAAAAGGCCAAAACAAAGCCCAAACACAAACCCAAACAAAATAGGTCCAAAACACAAAACAAACCCAAATCAAATTCAAATCATATTCTAACAATCTCCACCTTGACTTGAATTCTCTCTCAAATACCAGATGTACCAGACGCAACCAAGGTTGCCAGATGTACCAGATGCAACCAAAGTTGCCAGATGTACCCAGACGCGATACATATCGCCAAATTTACCCAGATGCAATCGTAATCGCCAGATATCCAGATGTGATCGAAATCACCAAACTCAAACGCGATGCAAATCACCAAACTCAAATGCAATCAAAATTGGCAGACATACCAAACTCCTCCAAATCAGCTGTACCAGAATCTCCCCTGCCTCCAAATGCCCCTAAGGGCGGTCAACCGAACCATTCGGCAAGTCCAACCCCATGTTGAGACTTGTCTTTCAGAACCAGCTTGGTGCACTTATCACCAACAGAACATGTCAAAACAGAACCTTGTAGATTATACAAGGCACCCCGCTTGACACCTTTCAAAATCACCTTAGAACCCTTGTAGACAGACAACACTCCACCTTCACCTTTGAAACTGAAACCCTTGCCATCCAGTAGACTCATAGATATCAGATTCTTAGTCATCTCTGGAATATGCCTAACATTGTTCAAGGTGCGAACAGAACCATCATGTGTCCTCATCCTGACGGAGCCTCTTCCTACAATCTTACAGATAGCACCATTGGCCATATAAACATGTCCTTCATCTATCTGCTCATAAGTTGAAAAACACTCCCTTCTTGGACACATATGATAATCAGCTGCAGTATCCAAGTACCACACATCCTAATGATGTACCTATTCATTCACTGCTAAGGCTAAACCATCTTTAGAATCAGAGTTAGTTTCTTCCGCCACAGCAGCAGATGATTCCTTCTTCTTCTGATATTTCTTCAGTTTAGGACAAACAAATTTCCAATGTCCTTTCTCCTTGCAGTAATGACAGATATCATCATTCAAACCAGCAGAATTCGAATTTGTATTCGCCTTCCTATTATTACCAGATTGTTGTCTCCTACTACTCGTAGCAGCCAACCCAGATGCCTGATTTTCCAAACCTGAACCAGACGCCTTATGTCGAACTTCTCTAGTATGTAGAGCAGATCTGGCATCTTCCAAAGACAAACTATCTTTCCCAGCAATAAAGGAATCCACAAAATTCTCATATGACTGTGGCAAAGATACTAACAAAATTAAGGCAGCATCCTCATCATCTATTTTAACATCAATATTCTGCAGATCTAACAAGATAGTATTGAGTTGATCTAGATGATTCCTAAGGGACGTACCTTCCTCCATACGCAAACTGAACAAACGTTGCTTCATATGCAACTTGTTGGTTAAAGACTTTGTCATGTATAGACTTTCAAGCTTCAACCACAAACCTGCAACAGTCTTCTCACTAGCAACCTCAGTGATGATGCCATTAGACAAACAAAGCAAGATTGTAGAGTGAGCTTTCTCCTCCAAAGTAATCCACTCCTCTTCACCTATACTTTCCTTCTTCGATTTTCCAGACAACGGAGCCCACAAACCCTGTTGTTTCAACAGTGCTTGCATCTTGATCTGCCACAAACTGAAACTGTTTCTTCCAGTAAACTTCTCAATCTTCATACTGATAGCAGCCATTCTTACTATCAAACAAACTCCAACCAAACTTCTCACCAAAAAAGCGAGACCAAAACACAACTACCCAAAGTCAACTTCAAAGCGATTCCTCCACCGAACCAAGCTGAAGAATTGAAAACTACCTCCACAAATCAAAACTTCAGTCCAGCGCCAAATTCCCAAAACTGCAACCAAAGGCTCTGATACCACTTGTCAGAACAGAAGTGTGCAATCGATAATCCAAACCAGCACGAACGAACACAAATTTAACGTGGTTCACTAACACAATGTGTGCTAGCTAATCCACGGATAGAGGAGAAAAATTTCACTAATTTGAGGAGAGTACAGGTTACAAACCAAATTCCAAACGGACAAACCAAACAAACAAACCTGACTGACCTTACTACAGACTAGGGTGATGAATAGTATTTATAGAACTCTTCTCCTAATCCCAAACAGAAAATCAAATACATTTTCCAAACCTACAAGGAAAAGGCCAAAACAAAGCCCAAACACAAACCCAAACAAAATAGGCTCAAAACACAAAACAAATCCAAATCAAATTCAAGTCATATTCTAACAGATATCTCTCCTACAAAAGCGAGTCACTCAAAAATAATAATTCTCTATAAAAAAACATATTCTTATGTATCTTTTGCAATGATTTACTCACAAATGTGATAAATTGAGACTGCATTTATACCTTTAAAATCTATTCGTTTCTAACAGTGCGTACATAAAATACAATGCAAACCCATAAATAAACCATGACCTTTATTATGTAGGTACTCGGGCACAATGGCGGAGCAAAAAATCTGAGCAAGCGGGGCTAAAATTTTACGTTCAATAGGGTTTGAACCGAGGAGGGAGACTAATGCTTTATCACCTACTCTACTTTTCAAAATTGTTTTACTCCTAAATTTACACAATTTTGAGAGTTGAGAGGTGACAATAACCCCGCTATAAGGTAGCTTTACCACTGATCGGACACACAGCCACACACATTGGTTTACCTATAAATATGAGCTAATAATGGATGTTATCGTGCGCATTGCTACCTAGTACAACGTGGGCATGTTGTACGATCTACACAACTTGGCCATAAAAATTCATTGTGAACCGGTAACATAGCTACGTGGAGTCGTGGACTATGGGTCGTTTCTCTTTTATAAAGACGTCCACAACCTATAGACGTTTTCAACCTCTTAATTGTTTGAGTTTTTTGACTTTTGAGAAATAGCCACATCTTGCTGAGGTGGTGACCTAAACCTCGGCGACGAATTCCTTACCGGTGGGCAACCGAAGACCGAACTGTCTGTTGGTTGCAATAACGGAGGCGCTCAAATACAACAGCTGCAGTTTTGTATATAAAAAATTGCGAGTCAACAAATCAGAGAAATTGGACTTTTCATCTTTTACCGATAACAATGTTTTTAATTTGAGCATACACGTTAGAGTCTTTTTAGTTTTTCATTTGCGCAACACTAATATTCTCAAAATTAATAAATACTTTTTCATGTAAAAGCTCAAACAAAGTTGTACCGATGTCAATTATACTAACATATATCGTTGGGTATAAATGAATTTCATAAGTTTTAAGGAATTCATTTTGAAATGAAATATTATTGTTTTTGGTATTTAAAAGAATTTATTTTCAATTCTAAATTTTAAATTTTATGAAATTGAAACTATTTATAGTAATTCCGAAGAATTGAGATGGAATTTCCAAATGAATTCCACAAAATATAGGATTTTGCTATGGTGACAGGCATGTCACCGTGACATGGACTTTTCGGTCGACCTAATTCACAAGGCGGTCGACCGAATTGACAAATTCAGTTATGTGAGGTTCAGAGACGCGGTCGACCGTCTACATAAAATGGTCGACCTCTTTGGTGGTATAACAGAACGAAAGGTCGACCCAAATACCTCATAGGCCGACCCTTGTGCACCTATCAGGTCGACCTCATTAGTAATAGGTCGACCGCATGCACAACGTATCCGTATTGGATAAGGATTCCAACAGCAAAAGGTTCAACAATTGGACAAGAAAACGAATTGGTGGCGTTGAAGGGGACTTATATTCGTATTTATAGAGATTTAGGACGTGAATGGGTCAATTCACGTCCTAAATTTCTATAAATACGAATATAAGTCCCCTTCAACGCCACCAAAAGTATGAATTAGGTTTTTTTCGATTTAGAGCCTTTGTGAAGAAGATTGTTCGCGGTTGCTGTTATACGTGTCGAAGTGGTCGACCACGTCTAAGGTGAGGTCGACCTAATGTAGCATTTGCCGTCATTTTCTCTAATGCGTGATTTCCACCAAAAATAACAACTTAAACTAAGTGCGGTCGACCACGTGGTCGTTGAGGTCGACCGCAATGCTTTCTCGTGCTGCACAAATTAGTCAATTTGGTCGACCGCCTTCAGGATTAGGTCGACCGAAAAGTCCATGTCACGGTGACATGCATGTCATAGTAGGCATACCCCAAAATATATTCTAATTATAATAGAATGACATA